AAGAGATTTAAACACTTTGAACATTGCACTCTATTTTACTCTTCAAATAAGGTTTTAATTTTGATTTGGCAAAAACCTGTGAATTTATTTCAGTTTTCTTTCTCTTCCTTAGATTTTATGTGATGGTACCACCCTTGCTAAAATTCTTTGCTCAGATTCTTACATTTAAATTAATGGTACAGAGGGCCAGGAGAAAAATCTGTAGAAACTTAGAGATACCAGAAAATAGGGATTGAGTGACAAAGTGAAAAAGATACAGCACAGGAGGAGCATAAATGTTATAGGTGTTGCCAAGTGAAAGCCTGGCCACATTTTGTTACGGGGGAAGTTAATGCAAAAAGCCCACCTCCTCCTTCCTTTCTTACCTTCTTAGCTCATCTTTGGGTTTGAAGAGATTAATTTTGGAAAATGTGGCTCAACTGTTCCAGCTCTGAGCACTCTGCCCGCACTCCTCTAGGACTCCCTAGATGGGCAATGGTTGTCACACCCAGGTAAGCTAAAGCTGTTAAAAAAAATAAACAACCCTTCCCCCAGAAAAAAAAGAGCACCAGAGACTAGGGTGGGAGAAAGTGAATTTCAAGTCACTGAAGGTATTTTAACTTCTTGAATCTTTACAGAGAAGGTCTGATGATCATTAGCATCTTCTAGTCCTGAGATTCTAATTTTGGGGCTCAGCAATGGAATACACTGATGGTCAGGAATATTATATGGTGCATTTAACAGTAACATAACTGGAATTCTTGGAAGGGGACTGGCAGTAGAGCAAGTTCTCCCTGGAATGCATATCCCAACCTGCAGAGAGGGTGCCAATGTGGAGGGCAACAGGAGTCCTATTTTAGACTCGTAAAGGGCCTAACACAAGGCTGGCATGCAGGCAAGTTCCAGGAGTGAAGGAAGACTTCAACCATCTGGGATCAGCCGGAATCTTAGGAGGCTAAAAACAGCTAACGACATATCTTGCCTTGCTCACAATTTCATCTCCAAAGGAAGACAAAGAAAGGAGGAAAGCTGGTCAACAAGACCAGCAGGAATCAGTCTGTTAGATGACAAGAACGCCAGATATCTGTGACCCCGGTTTTAGAATTTATTTAAGAAGGAAGAGAAGCTGAGAATGGTGGCAGGGGGTGGTGGTGGTAGAGGCACAGCAGTGGGGGGCACACATCAGCAGAAACAAGTCAATAGGGGTTGGACAGAGAAGGGTGGTTCTTATCCACCCAAATCTTAAGGAATAATACTGATAACAAAGACAGGAGACCCTGAAATGCCTTTTTGTAACACAATCATAAATGAACTGGGGGTGACGGGGAAGGTCGAAAATGCTGATAAAGAATCCAAGTCAGGGCTCTCCCTGGTGGCATAGTGGGTCAAAGCACCACATTATGAAGCTCTCTAAAGTCACTGCAGCAAGAGTTCAATCCCCGCCCCGGAGGTGACCCACATGGCACGGCAGACCTCTCCTGACCTGCCCGCTGCTCCCCTCTCAGCAGTGTACTTTGTCAATCTGCCTGTTCTGCCCCACACTCTGTCTCTGGTGAATCTTCTCACCCACCACACCTCTGGCCTGTACCCCAGTTATGTAAGCATAAATTAAGTAAATCTTAAAAAAGAAAAAGAAAAAGAATTCAAGTAAGCCACACAGAAGAGCAGAGTATTAGGGCTCTCCAAAGAGGACCCACAAAAGGATGGATACATATACATATACACACTCTTTCATACACAATTTTTTTCATTGAGGTTACACTGGGTGACAAGACTGTGGTTCAGAGGCATAGGATCACACCTCCTCAGATGCATGTCACCACAGCACACCCCACCCCCCAATAAGGCACCTGTAGTCCCCCACAGTCCTCCACAGAGTCCGCTGTTCCCCAACGCCACTGACACATTTTTTTAAGGATTGGCTCACACGATTATGGAGGCTGCAATGTTCAAAGTCCACAGGGTAAACTAGATTGGAAGCTGAAGTAAGAGTTGAATTTGTGGTCTTGAATCCAAATTCTACAAGACAGCAGGTTTCCTGTTGGATTCCTGTTGGCACTTTGAGGGGAAGTCTTTGTCTTTGGAGTACCTCAGCCTTTATCCATGTGACCTTCAACTGATTAGATGAGGCCAGCATATTTTATGATTTTAAAACAGATATTTTATGAATCTGTTTTATTCAAGGTCTGCTGATGGAAGTCTTAATCTCATCTAAAATATATTCCCAGAGACATCAAAACCATTGTTTGACCAAACAACTGGCCAAGTAATAAGAACTTAATGAAGTTTACACTGAAATGACTGTCATAGGGAGCCGTTAGCCAAGGTTAAGTGCAAGATCATGGCAATGCTGGAGGAGGTGTCTGAGGAAGGCATAGTAGGGAATGGAGTGGCTGAGTGGAGATCATGGTGGGGACTCTAAAAACTGGGGGTGGGGGGTATGTCCCAAGAGGAGCTGATCACTTCTTTTTTTGCTGAGAGTAATTATCTCTAACCTAAGTCAGTAAGATTTTAGAGTGTAAGAGAGAGGAGAGGCTGAAGATAAGAAAAGAAACTCAGACACCTTTAAATTTATAAGCCTCTGAAAAGAACAGAATTAACAAATTGGTGAAAGAAGAATTCTCATCCACTGTTGATGGGAATGCAAGCTGATACAGCTGCTGTGAAAAATGGCATGTAGATGTCTCAAGGAAATAAGAATGGAAATTCTGCTTGACCCAGCAATGCTGCTATTAGGTATTTATCCAAGTAACAACAACAACAACAAAAATCTAATATGAAAAGATCTAATAGCAGCACTGTTTGAAATTGCCAAGTCACAGAACCTACCCAAAGCCCTTCAACCAATGAATGGAACATATATTCAGTAGAATATTACACAGCTGTGAAGAAGGATGAAACAATTGCATTTGTGACAAAATGGATGGAACTTAAGGTGATTCCATTGAGCAAGATCAGTCAAAAAGTGTAAGGCAAATTTCTGATGGTTTTACTCCTCTGCAGAATATGAACACCCCCCACCCCCATTACACAAAAACAATAGAAGAAATACAAATTTAAACCTGGCAAAATGAAGATATTAGTTACGAGAGGTAGCAGGGGGGAAAAAGAAGAAGGGATGAGTGAAGGAGCCAGGGGCATGGTTTGGTGGAAGGAAATAAATTGAATTTGCAAGCCTCTAGGATGACCAGCTCAGGGTACTGGAATGTCCCGAAGGTGCCCAAGGAACTTATGCTGGGAATTGAGGTTACAAAGTCAGCAGGAACCAAGCAGGCTAGTGTTCAGCTTTTCATATGGGGAACACACTGGATATTAATTGCAGACCAGTTTCTAGAATAAATTACAAGCCAGTAGACTGAGCTTTTAGAAGTAAAAGATAATAGAGCGAGAGCTAGTGGGGTGACAAGTTTAGACCTACAGGCATGTGTGCATATGCACCCACACCAAGGCCCTGGGCTCCTGTTCATTCCATTCCACACAGTCCCTTCGGGAAACTGAGCCCAGTAAGAGGTCAGGAGCTTGCCTAAGACCCCAGAACTGGAAATAGAGGACTGGGGAAGTAGTAGAACTTGTGTACTTATGTTTACTTCATAGCAGAACCTGCAAACTCTGGCTGTGAGCTGAATCTGCTCCCCAGCTGTTTTCATATGTTCTGTGAGCTTTTTTTAATAGATAGGGGAAAAAATAAGATTTTTTTTTTTGCAACATGTGAAAAGATAATGAAATTCAAATTTCAGTGCCTGTAAGTAAAATTTTCTTAGAACACAGCCATGCCCTTTGTTTAGATGCTAGGGCAGCTCTGGGACTGTAATGGCAGAGTTGGGTAGTTATGACAGACCTCTGACCTGCAAAGCCTAAAATATTTGCTCCCTGGTCCTATATACAAAAATATCTGCTAACCCCTGCTCTCTGGCCTCTTGGCCAGTTCTTCTAGAGATTCTATATCAAAAATTCTTTCCCACTAGAAGATGTTTATGGGAATGTTAGAACCTAGGAGCCAAAAAGGTGTGAAATGTTCTCCACACTGTTGTGGCTTGAGTAAGGTGGGCTATGGAACTTTGACAGCAAGGTGGAGACAGGGCATGATGTGTGAGGCAAGATCAGGGGACTTGTTGCGTCTTTCAGACCTGGCTGCAGTAGGACCTTGGCAGAATCTCTCATGATATCCTTGTGGAGCTAATAGAGAAAATGTGGATTTGATGATGACAATTAGATATGTGTGTGGTGGGCTTGTCAACTGTACCCACAGGACTTGATTAATGAGTTGCTGCCAACCTAAGGCCTCCAGTAATATGCTATGGGATCATGTCTTTGAGCCTGTCCTAACTCACACTTTTACCAAATGTTGGGATAAAGACACAGAACATGCTAATGTAGACCAAAGTAAGGCAGTATTAGCAGTTTAAGTCTGAAGATAGGGAATTTCACATTAATAAGGAAGGAACAGATTATTAACCAAAATTGTGAGAACACAATTAAAAAGTAAATGCAGTGTCAGGATGAAGAAAAGACTTGTAATACTCACATATGAAGGAACTCCAGGAGTTGTTTCGAGTTGGATAGATATGGTGGGAGCATTGTACCTGCTCTAGCGGTACATCATAGGTAGCAGCCATCTCTGCACGTGAGAAGACCAAGGAGAAGCTTGCCCAGTGAGTACAGTTCTGGGAACAGCATCACATGAGGGATGGAAAGCAACAAGAATATCTGACTTGGGGAAGAGACCTTAATTAGGATATTATCTTAGCTGGGATCATACAACCGATACAAGGATTGGGTGCCTGTATTTTATGGGAAGCACAGAAACAGTGAGGCAGGGGGTAGTAGGGAAGGAAGGCAGAAAAAGGAAGGCAGGCAGGAAGGGTGTGTTCTTCAACTGGCTTCCACTGCAGGTACCTGGGCTTAATGCTGTGAAGAGCCCCTGGGCAATGGTGTGGAGCACACAGCTCAATGATCCCACGCAGGCAGGGGAGAGGCTCTGGGGCATCTGTATGCCAGTTCCTGCCTGTCAATTGAGGGCAATGCCCAGACATCTGTCCAAGGCTTTGGAGAGAGCCTCAGACTCAGAGGTGGTAGTGGGAAGGTGCTACAGGCATCAGAACAATTCTGGGATGTTTGAGGTACTTGAAATAGGTGAGTTACAGGAAATGAATTTATGGTGAGAAGAAAAATCTTTTCTAAGGGTTTTGTCTTTATCCCAACATTTGGTAAAAGGGTTTTCATATGAATTGGTGGCTTCACAAGACATTTTACCCTCCAACAGCAGAGCCTTGGGACCAGGTCTTTGGAAGTCTGTGGATGCCTTTTGGTTTTGAGGGGACTGGGCTATGCGAGGAATGCCAGATGACAGGCTGTCTCTGGATCCAAGATGCTTTAGTTGTATGGATGAAATTCTAATTGATTATCTATATAGCATGGAATCAGGTAGTGGACGAAAGAGTCTGGTGGTGACAGTGAAGGGTAGGAGGTCCATGAACTTGTGTCATACACACCACTCTTCCTGCTCTCTGGGCTTGCGCTACCTGGAGGCAGAAATAAAACCTGATACCTGAGATACCTGAGAGGGCAGAAATAAAACCAATTCCAGCCCAGAGCTTTCCTCATTCTCAGTAACAATATTGGTGAGCCAAATTGAACAACAATTAAAATAAGACCTGAGCTCAAAAAAACAGCCCCTTCAGTGTGAACATCCATGTAAGCAACAGCAGCGGGGTGCCTCCTGCCCATCTGTCCAGGACCTACCCCCAGCTCTACTTCAGAGGTCTAGAAGGTCTAGGACCAGGGTACCCCTTCCATGTCTCTCCTCCAGGCCCTCCGAGCTGTAGCTCAGCTGCTCACAACATAGGCAGCTCATTATTTTGCTGCAGTTGACTTGAAATCTGAAATCAATTGGGTATCAAATATGCAGTCCTCAGTTTGATACCATTTTTCAAAGGTACAATAACGCTCAGAAATGACACTACATTTCCTAATTATGAAATTCTGTCGTTGTGCTCAGTCTAGGATGACTTGGCTGCAGGGTTTTCTTTTTCTTTCTCACTTCTTTTTAAGGGTTAGCATACGCTACGATTATTTTAAAATTGCTTTGGAAGAATACATTTCATCACCGAACTATGAACGTGCTTATTACCAGAGTTTGGAGGCGATCTGAAGGAAGGCTAAATTAGCACAGACTCTGGAGGCTTTCCGAAGGATGCCCCACTTGTCCCCTCTACTTCTTTCTCCCCACAGCTAATGAAACCTTTCATGCTCAGGGCCTCCAGACACTGCTGCACTCCTTGCTCCAAGCCAACTGGTCAGGACCATGAACTACTTGATTGGAGAGGGCTGCTGGGAAGTTCCTGCTTTATATCAGAACTAAGAAGAAGGAGGGGGTGACAAAGTAATCTAAAAGCTCCCTGAGAGCCAAAGTGTCTCGGATTGACATCACTCATGAGCTAAGCAACCAGAAGAGCTGCTGGTGTTTCTGGGAAGCTGCTCAGGAACTCGGGTGCCTCTCAGCTGTTGGGGCTGTTGAGTGAGCTCCCAACACTGACAAAGGGGTCTCCAGTGACTCACTGACATGCAAAGGCACAGTGACTCTCAAACTTATGCTGAGCGAAAAGCTGAACATAAAAGAGACTGGGGTATGTAAGTGCTCAATAAATGTTTGATAAAATATTAAGAAATTAATTGTAAAATAAAGTAATGGCATTTTTCATTTTGTATACTCCAAACGAGTGCTGTTTGTCCAGGTGCTGCTCACAGTGGGGCTCTTCAAGGCCAGACGTATGATGGGAGAAAACAAGATGCAACGTGGAAAACCCTGAGGCCCAACATGCAGCTTGCAGGGGACTGTCATCTTATTTAGCTGCCTTTTCCCCTTACCTGTAAGTAATCATTAAAATGTTTTTATGTGGCAAATAAACAACAACAAAACAAGCACAAAAAGGGACATGCTTTATCATTCTATTGATACTTGGCCTAGAACAGGCAAAACTTATCTAGGATGATAGTTATCAGAAGTGGGGTGGGGGGCTTTTGGGGAGGAGGAGATTGACAGGAAGGGGGCTCAAGAGAACATTCTGGGGTGATAGAAACATTATCCTGATTAGGCTGTTATTGCATGAGTGGGTTTTATTAAACTCTAAACTTTAGTTATTAAACTGTAAGCTTTAAAAAATACTGGTGACTGAAACTGCTTAGGGGAATGTAGCTAGAAGACATAGCCAACTGGTCATTCTACTTTCTGGCAGGGGGATCTGCCTGTTACCCTAGCTACAGCTAAGTAGCTAAATACTGCCTGCTCTCAGGGAAGTAAGTAGCCTGTGTCTTTGAGCAGCCAGAGCCTCTCTGGCGAGGAAGTGACTGGCAGGACCAGCACAAAGTCATGCTGGAAGACAGATGTGATGACACAGCTGTGCCCCCAGGAGCTGGGTTGAAGGGAACTATCTCATTGGTATGAGAGGATGCTTCCCAAGGAACTTTTTCCTCTCATTGCTTCTTTTCTTTTTTGGTAACAGAGACCTCTTCACATCGGCGAATTATGAATATGCAGAGAAGATGGTGTGAGACCACCCTGTGTCTCTGAACTGAGGCCACTGGAATTCCTAGGACTCTAGTCACTGGTACTTTTCCTGCATTTTCAGCAGCACCTGAAATAGATTTCGCTTCATATGAAATGCAAAACACTGCAGAGTAGAAAGCTCACCCTGGTCTCTGATCCAGGCGAGTGTTCTCAAGCCTAGTGCTCATATTTTTTTCTCCCTTTCTTCAAAATACTGCCTTGCTAAGCCCACAGATGGGGATCATAGGATAAGTAGATGCATAATATATTACCTGAAATATTCCACCAGGCATCTTCTCTTACAGGTCAGGAGGACTTGCAAATGGAGTCTTCTAGGTCGCTGCATTTCCATCTGAGAGAAATTCTCTCTCATAATTAAGATTATGTCAGCATTTCCATTACAGAACCTGGTGGTAAAATCCACTCTGAAGTGGAGCTGGGTTTTAAAGCTCTTGGTCTTGGAGAAAGCTCTCTTTATGATAATGGCTGTGCTGCATGTTTCCCCTTGGAAGCTAGAGAAAGAAAAATGTCCAGTGACTTTGGTACTGCTAACATGCTGGTCAAGGGGTACAGGAGGTAAGTTTGGCTTCAGGGACTCCTATGGTGATGTCAAGTGCACCTTGAGGAGTCTCTAAATCCAGGCAAGTGTTCTCCAAAATGTCCTCTGCTGACCCTCTCCCAGAATCACTGGGAAGTGCCTATAGCAAACACAGATTATTGTTCTGTTATGGCCCAGTCTACCCGGCCTGCCTGACTTATCTGGTCAGACATCTTGGAACATACCTTCTGCAGCTAGATCATTCTTTTTTCCAGGAAAAGGGAAGCCTCCTACTCCAGGTTTTGTTGTTTTGTGACTGATACTCTTGGTCAAATATCTTCATCTCTTTATGTTCTATATCTGCACACATAAAAAAACAGTTAACCTTTATTGAGTGTTACTGGGTGTCAAGTATGTTGTAAGTGGTCCTTTGAGGTTGGCAACTAGCATTGTCTCCACTTTTAGGATAAGGAGTTGCAGACACAGAGAGGTTAAGTAAGTTGCCTAAGTCACACAGATAGCCACGTGCTCAGGTATTCTGGCTCTGCCACATTGTGCTACCTGCCTCTTTGAGGATAATTATAACTCTCACCATCCTGGGTTGTGAGGCACAAATAAAATAGAGAATAAAAATTGCTCTGTGACCTGTGCGATTATTTTTATAGGATTTTGACAAAGTTCCTCTGAACGCGGGGTCCATGCTCTCGCCAGTTTCCTATTTAGGATCTGCCCTGCCCTTCACAGAATTCTGTCATGTTCTCTCCCAGTTTCCACAGTGACTGTTTGATTCCTGAGCATCTAATCTCACTAGCTAATTTACACTCAAGTGTCCATAAATGACAGCCTAATGCGTTTGCTTATGTGCAGATAGTACTTTCATTTCAGCTGAAGTTTTGACTCAGAATTTTCTAATTTGCGGACACCAAGATCCCCTTTCTGGCCATATGTTCTATGAAGGGTTTCTGACATGCAAACTTCATTTAATTAATTAAGAACGGACTTTATATCTTCTACATATTTATAGAGCTAGCCCCCACTGTTTGAAAGTTCATGTCTGGCTCTTCACTTTCACGCAGACCTGTATGAAGACTGACGTCGCGGAGAGAACGCTGCAAAGGATTCCTGCTTTCACGACAGCAGTCGGAAAGCAAGACCCGCCCAGCGCTGCTTTGCGGCAGCGGGTCTAGCGTGGTGGCGGAGCAGCCATTAAGCCCTGGCGCCTCCGGGTCTGCCCGGCGCTGCTGCACATAGGCTGGGTGTGTATCATCACTTTCCTACTTTTATTATATGGTAGTGCTACTTTAGGTTTAATGTGATACTGGATACGATTTGTTATTTTGGGGGACCTGGAAATGCTTAAAAAAAAAAAAACTCCCTATGCCATTTTGACTTAGGAGGGTCTCAGGGTCTCACAGGAAGTCTCTGCTTTCGGATACTGGGGGAAACATGTCTTTTATTAGATGACGTGTAGTATTTTCTTGACTTATTTGAACTCGGGAAAGCTTTAAATGAAATTCTTGTTGTCATTTAATGGGTGAAAAAGGGTCTGGAGACTCCTTGTAGGAACCAGTCTCTCTTCGAAGGCCAAATAACGTGGAGAATGAAGTCAGTCAGGGCAGGGCTGGGAAGTTGCCGTGTGTGAGCTTTCTCCAAGACTAAGACCTTTAAGTATCTTTTTTTTTCTTCTTTTTTTAATTTACCAAAGTACCGTTGGTTCAAATCACTGTTAGTATATTGGACGTATGGGATTTGCCTCGGCACATCCACCACAAAACATCCATAATCCTCTACCTCAGTCCATTTGCTCTCACCACACCCTTTCTCACTCTCCTGCCTTGTCCCCTTCCCCCCCCCCCCCCCCCTAAAAACTGTTGTAAAACCCTGGGGGAAGGAGCCGGGCGCCAGCCCCGCCCCGCCCCTGAGGTCCCCCTCTGGCTCAGCCCAGGCGGCCTGCAGGAGGTCCGCGGAGGCGGCCAAGGGAGCCGAGCCCGACATCGCCGTGCCCCAGTTCAAGCGGAGGAAGCGGGAGTCGGAGCGGGCATACGTGCGCCGCATGGCCCAGGAGGCGCGGCACGTGCTCTTCCTCACCCAGAACCAGGCCCCGCGGCAGCCGGAGGCGCAGACAGCACCCCGCGAGAAGTCTGCTGGGAAGAAAGCGTGAGTGGGGCCAGGGAGCGGCTGAGCCGCTGCACTCGGCGCCTGGGGTCTCCCGGGGTTGGAGAGCGGCCGGCCGGCAGCACTCGGCCCTTGGCCGTGGAGCTGCGGACGGCATCGGCGGAGCAGCTGGCTGGCTCAGGCCCCGCAAGGCGAGAGCAGCCCTCCGGCAGGGCGTGGGGCGCCTCATCGGGGGCCTGAGCGGCGCCACCGGACCCCGACCCCCAGGTTCCAGAAGCGTAAGCTGGACAGGATACAGCGGCGGAGGGAAGAGAAGGCAGCAGAGAGGCTGGAGCAGGAGCTGCTCAGAGGTGACTCTTGGCACCTGAGTTAGCGTCCAGGCGGGCCTGGTGGCGGGCGGCCACAGCATGCTCCTCTTGTCCTCCAGACCCAGTGCAGTTTGGCGAGGTGGCCCTGCAGCCCCCGGAGCTGACGGCCAAGCCCAGGACCAGCACAAGCAGGGACCAGGTGAGCAGGGCCTGGCGGGAACTCGCCCCCGGGCCGTGGTGGCTGCTGGTTGCAGGCAGCCCGGGGCCGCCAGGGGCTTCCCTCCCTCCCAGCTGGTGGCTCACCCTTCTGTCCCCCAGGCCGGCCGCGGATCGCTGGCGCTGGCGGGGCTGCTGAGCCCGGGGCGCGGGGCCCGACCGCAGAGCGCTTCGCTGGCCCGGCAGCGCATCTTGGGCGAGGAGAGAGCGCGGGCAGTGCAGGCCTACCGGGCGCTGCGGCAGCGGCGGACTCTGTCACTAGGGTCCCTCCCCACTGGGAAGGCACAGGGCACACAGCTGTGACACCGCACCCCCCCAGCCTCTGGGGGTGGCCACCCCACCACCTTGCTCCCAGCATCCGCTCTGGCGACCCGGCTGCCCCAAGTGAGCCAGCCCTGGAACTTGGCTGGCACAGAAGGAGCCCAGGAGGGGGCTGCTGTGCTGCAGGACACTGTTCAGGTGCCCTGGCTCGGCGCTGCCCGCGTGTCCATCC